CGACGGTTCATCTGCATATGATCGGCGCAGCTGTTGCACGCGCTGCGTTATTGCCATCAGCATGGTTAGAGCTGTAAAGACAACAAAGGTACAAAGCCGGTGTTTTAAGGTGCCGCTTTTTTCAACAATCCGTAGAATCGTCATGACAGTCCTTGCCACAGTCCCTATACTGTATTACCCCATAAGGTCCCAAGACCCCCTCCGTTTAGAGGAGCTCGCAGGTATTCTTTTCAGGCCAAGAGTGCTCGCCTTGCCAAGGCATGGACGGCATGGATGGTGATGACGCAAGCCCCAGGCTGGATGGTCTTAGTTGGCAGGTGCATGCTCTGAACAATGAGCCCCCCCAACCTACCCAACAAGAGGTGGTGCTGGATTTTGTCAATAGTACTCGTACACTGTTGGAGGTACGAATTTTAAGGGGGTCATCATTAGGGGAGGTGTTTAGCTTTTGACATGCACAAGCTGCCTGAGCGGCCGTTGTGGCAGGATTGCAGATACCCCGCAGCGGACATCCATGTTCGCGGAGGCTGTGGGAGATCCACCAATACTGGAAGGAAACTGCTAAATTTCTGGAATTTCGGGCCCAAACTATGTATCATTTATAGGCTCAGAGGAGTGAAGTCCGCAGACAAGATTTCCTGCCTTGTTGCCTTATAGCCCTCATAGAGCCGTTACGTCAGTGTGTGAGCTTTGGGCCCTAGATGAGCTATAGTCTGAACTCCTAGTATCCCCAGAATAAGCCCTATACTAGGATCCGTGTATGATCCCGTATATATCCTTCGAAGGAATTTAGACTACAGCTCATATTACCCCTGAGTCGTTATCCGTGCAGCATCGCTGCGGCCAGGTGGTAACCAGTGTGGTCTCGCAGAACGGCGGTGGCGGGCTTTGAGAGCGAGTTCTATGGGAGCTGTCATTTGGGTAGTTCTCTAAATTAGCATCCCCTTTTCAAGTCCCCAAGATAGGCCGTAAAAGGGACCCTAATTTCGAGAACTACTCATTTGGGGCTTACCAGGGGCCGAACACAGTACAAAATGTGGATGGCGGCACTGGAAAAGCAATTGACGAACTGCGTTGAAACTGGTATTGTAGACGGGTTTATAGAAGCCACCAACACTGTGGTCCTAGATTCTTTTTACGATTGCGATAGAGGGTACCTCAAACAAGCCTTCAAAAGATGTTCGAAATTAGTTGGGCCCGTACATTACATGAGAAAGGCGTGCCACCTAGTGGTTACACTGCTCTTTCTTTCAGTGTTGCAACGTCTGATACTACGGATCCCGCATGACCCGAAGCACTCCATACCTGGGGAACTATAAGGTCATGAAGGAATGGCGGCTATCAGCAGTGTTACTGTAACTAGCGCTATCACATTCTAGTACCTATAGTCTCCATTGTAGTTCCTTTTTTGGTTTAGCCAATTTTGTATTAAGGATCCTAAAAGGTAACCCCAAAAAGGAACTACAATGGAGACTATAGTTACTATGGTTCTTACTATTCCTGTGACATTCATGTGAGAGTATCAGCAGCAATCAGCGCTGCACGGAAAGGGACGCCTCGCGCAGAAGAGAGTTTCCGAACATGCGGGGGCCCCTTCAACTAGTTCGGGCATACCTAGACCCTTAATTGTAATACCTTTTTTGGGTTACCTTAGTTTCTTATTATAGGATCCTAACCCTAAAATAGGTCATCCAAAAAAGGAACTACATTTAAGGGTCTAGCTATTGCACTATACTTGTAACAAGGAGCGCTAGGAATACTATTGGTAATTATTTAGGCCCCTATCTTTTGCACGGAGATGATGGGTGTCGGGAGCCTTGGTAGGGATTGAATAGGCATGTTTGTAAGAAACTCCCAGAAAGGCCCAGTTCTGCCATCGGCTTTGCTATTTGGACACATAAAAAGAAACTTAGGAGCGGAAGGACTGCACATACTGCTCAAAAGCACTGCTTGTGCCCTTGACAAGAACAAGGAGGCTCATCCCATCCCTCTCCTCCCTGCTGGATACATTCCTTCATTCCTTGCTAAACTGGATACATTCCTTCATTCCTTGCTAAACGTGCATGGCTTTGGACGCTCAGGCGTTGCCAAAGTGTTCGCATCAGACTCGGACTACTTCCATGCTGAAGATAGTGGTCTCGACAGGCATGGACAGCACATTTCAAGTGGCTGCCATTCACCCCCACTGCATCCCAACGTGCAGGGAAATGCTGCGGAAGCGTGTCGGGCCGAGCCCTGAGAGTCGATGCATGGCAGGGTCCTTCTGCCCTAGCCCTGAATCATGCCTGCCACCGCATGACCTTGGCGCAAAGGTTGGAATACAAAATGTTGAGCATGCTGCCCCGATTAATCTTCTTCATTGCATCTGGGCAGCCACCGGAGCAGCTATGGTGTCTCATCAAGGGTTTAGGGCCTTTCGGGTTCAGGGTTTGTGGCCTTGAGGGTTCAGGGTCTCATTCCTTGTTCTGTCGGGACCCTTCAAGCACAAGGTGCGAGGTCAAGCTCCGGGTTTTTTGAACACCAAGGATGTTTAGATGGGGGCTGGGTGGGTAGTAGGTATCCTTTCCCCTTTGTGATCTATTGGTCCAAGCCTTCCAATGCAATGCCCAAGTCCTACTCCGTCTGATCTTTTGCGTATATACATCTTCGTAGCTGAGTATATAGGTAACCTTGAACCTTTTTGGGCCCACATAATCCTACCATAATTGAAAGGTTAAGCTTTTTTTGGGTTAGGGTACCCTAAACCCTAAACCCTAAAACCCCAAACCCTAAACCCAAAACCCTAAACTCTAAACCCAAGGGTACTCAGCCCCTAAGTTGGGGGCAAGGATAGTCAGCCCATTAGTTGAAGACTGATCTTTCTTGGCCGGTTTTTTGTTGATGAGCGGGATAGATAAAGTAGAATATAGTTTAGTCAGTATAATATAGTATAGTATAGTATAGTATAGTATAGTATAGTATAGTATGGTAGATTATAGTATATCATTACAGTATATCGTAGTTAGCATCTGCAGATTCAGCCACTGCAGGTATGCTTCGGACTGTTCATCGCAATCCAGCAGCCTCTTGGCGAGAGAAACCATGCCAGAAGTCAGAAGTGCCCGAGGCAAGCTTACACAAACTGGTAGAGAGACGTTCGCCTTGCCATGAATCCAAGTGAACCCAAAAAAGGAACTTGCGAGAAATGCGAAAAGGGGTCCTGACTGTGTCCAGGATGGGCTGTTGGACCTTTATTACCCTCGCCTAAACAAACATCGAACCCCAAAACGGTCCATGCAACTGTCCATGTTTCTTTGGGGGAGGGTATTCCTTATGAGCATACCCTAGTATCCAGGGGCTTATCAGATAAAGGAATATCCTGCGCCGTCCCAGGGTTGAGTACGATCCCACGAATTTCTCCGGAATCCACCTGCGCCTCAACGACCACTTCCACTTGGACAATGCCACTGGGCTGGATTGCTAAACTCAAAACCCTAAACCCTAAACCCTCCCTATGTCCTTCTCGATGGCCCACAGGGGCTGTTACAAGCCTGCCTAAACTAGGCTCTCCCGACTGTTGCAGGACGGAAAAAGGCCCTCAAAAGAAAAAACCCTCCCGTGTTACGAGGGTCCAAGGTTCCTCGTAGAATGATCTAGGGTACGTCAATGAAATCAACCTCGACTGATGATGTTCCCTAACCCCCCCCCCTGCTACCTACTACATAGGGCCCTAGGGGCTCTAGTACCCTATGTAGTAGGTGCCTGGGGGGTTAGGGGTAGCTATTGGGGCCCCGGGCCTGAGCCCCGACCTCCTAACTGCGAAAACCTGCAAAAACGGCCCCTGTGTACTTCCTCATTGACTTTCCTATGGCGCTTCACGGCCATACCCATAGGCTCCATAGTAGTTCCCTTTTCTGGTTTATGTGTAGAATCCTACAAGGTAATCCCAAAAAGGAACTACTTAGGAGCTTATGGGTAGTTGAAGGAACCCGTAGGAGGCGCTTGGCAAACCCTTCTTTCGAGCTTACGATACCCATAGGCTCCATAGTAGTTCCTTTTTGTGGTTTGTATTTAGGATCCTATAAGGTAATCCCCAAACGGAACTACTATGGAGGCTTCGGACCTTGCCTCTTTGAATTGCAATCACACGTAAGGGTTTACGGCTAGGCTTGAAACATGTTGTTGTTTTTGTTCTGCTGACGGTTTAGGTCTTAGGGGCTGGGTTTGGGCGTCAGGCTCTGAGTATTGCAATATGTACAAGCTTACCTATAGCCTCCATTATAGTTCCTTTTCTTGGTTTAACCAACTTTATATTAAGGATCCTAAAAGGTAACCCCAAAAAGGAACTACAATGGAGACTGTTGGTATAGTTTTTTTTGCTTCCCACAACTCAGGTGTACGGCATCCGACAGATTCCTGAGCTCATCGAGTACTTGGATACGTTCGTCATTTCCAATGCCGCCTAGCTACACCTGTTGGCGGGCCAAATGGTAATTACTCTACCTCTACTCGACTCTACCCCACAACCTACATTCTACCTACCACATTCTAAGCCTACTGTGCGCCTGAACAACCCAGAACCCTGCGGCCCTGGGCTACGAAGTTGGAGGGCTTACCTTTTGACAAGTGTGACATTGCCCTGCTTGTTGCAACGCATGTGGCTGTAGGATGTGAACTACTATCAACTTTAATTACGTTTTTTTGACATCGTCCCTCATGTGTGCCCACAGCTCATGGTGTTCAACTAGGGTGTGCATTCTGGGAACCGATGTTTTTTTTTTGTGACAGGCCCCGATGTGCTTGCTGAAAGCCTCACCAACTATCTCGCCAATTGTTCTGCAGCCTTTTTCTTAGTCTTTTCTCCAGAACAGCAATGAACATGAACAAGTAACGAAAAGTAGCAGATGCACCAACAGAAAAGTCAGCGCAAAGCTGACCCAGAATGAGAGTCCAAAGCAGGATGCCCGTGCTGCGACAGGCACAGCTCGATCCTCTCAACATCTACCACTGGTGTGCAGAGGATGACGCCCTTCCAACACCTGCACCTCGGCATTTCTGTTTTTGTTTCTACGTTTCGTGGTTGTGGCTTCCCTAGCCCAGGACTTGGACACGGTCCTTTCCCTTCCCTGTAAGGACTGACACCCCTCTACCTTTAACCTTACTTGAAGTAGTGGTCACTTCCAATGCCGGGTGAAGCCTCAACCCGGCGCCACATACCTGAGGTTGGAAAGATCAGGTGTCGGCGAGATCAAGGTCTGGTCCATAAGATGCGTGTCCCTATACACAGTACATGCTCGTACGGAGTTTATAAAGGGTTCTGGATGTGTGTACAAGCAGGAACCCGTAGATCCGCAAGGGCGCGCGCTTGTAAAAGGAAACGTCCGGAATGGCATTGCGCGTGCGTGCGTGTGTGTGTGTGATAGATAGATAGATAGATAGATAGATAGATAGATAGATAGATATATATATATATGTATATGGTAGTTTCACTCAGTAAGGGGACCAAATTTTTACTCCAAAGTCTTACAATCCTCATAGCCATAAAAAGGTCCCTCTAATTTTGCGAAACCCTAATTTACATAATCTATATATATATATATATTATATGTATAGATACACTTAATATATATATATAGATAGATAGATAGATAGATAGATAGATACACATACATATACATATACATATACCCCTACTTTTGAGGGGCCAGTCTCCATCAGCTTCCAGACAAGCTTGTAGGCTTGAGAACGGAGGGCAGTTGGCTGCTCAACCCATCAAATCACCTCCCCCACAGAATGAAATCCCCCCCCCCCCCCCCCACCCGATCATGCATACTCCCCTTGTTGTACAATGGTTTTATCTTCCGGGGATTCACCATCGGTGTGGGGGAATATGAGCACTAAGGGGTTGATTTTCTTGTGCAGCTGCCCCACAGTGGTGGAGGGAGTAAATCTTGCACCATAGTTCCCTTAACGGAACCCTTAAAACCTAAACCCTATAGAACCCTTAAAGGAACCCTTAAGCCCTAGACCCTATAGAACCCCACCTAAGGATCTCTCACTTTCAGCAATTCCTAGGGAAAAACGGGCATTGGATGGTGCAAGATCTCCCCTCTCAGGGGTTTAGGGGTTTAGGGGTTTCACAGCCATGACAACGATGCCCTCATATGCCAGGTGAGATACCGGACAAGGCCTTTTTGGAGTCTTGGTTTTGTCAATTAGCGGTTAAGAACGCGGTACCCGTAAATGGGTTACATAGGGCCGATTAAGGGTCGTATCGAGTGTCGGGGATCAAAAACGGTTGGAATATTGGACAAGCAAATGCAAAAAGGATTAGACACCTATTGTAGATACCAGACCCCTATACATATTCGCTACGACCTAAACTCCAGGCCCTAAACCCCGAAAACCCCCCCCTCGGGTTTGGTGTTTGGGGTCCCCCCCAAGTGCTCCGCTTGGTGTTCGGTGCAGAATGGTCGCAGCCTGGCATCCGCTCCTCTATCAGCCGATCATGTTCTGAGCATTTTTGGGCTTCAGGGCTCCTTTAATAAGGGGACCTCTACCCATAGGCTCCTAAGTAGTTCCTTTTTGGGATTACCTTATAGGATTCTAAATATGAGCCACAAAAAGGAACTACTTAGGGGCCTATGGGTAGGGCTCCTTTAAAGGGGACCTCTCGGGCTTAGGTTCTTTCTGTTTGGGTTTTGGGGTTTGGGGTTTAGGGTATAGGGCCTGTGGAGCTCCATTCAGTTTCTCGTCCCGGGCCTTTCAACGTAGACAAAAGGGCCCAGCATGGCCTTAGCACGCCATGATGTGCCTATCACCACTTAAGGCAAGCATTCACCATGGAGTTTGGTTTCAGTATCTAAACCCTAAACCCTAACCCTAATAAGGATCACTACAACGTGTACAACCAGCGGATCCAGGATGCCCAGAGCACCTCAGCTGTCAAAGCTGGCAAGCCACAGAGCTCAGTTTTCAGAATTTTTCGATTTAGGGTTTAGGGCAGATTTTTTCGCCGAGGAATGGAAAAGAAAATGGAAATTGGTCTAACGTAGAGGTTTCCCAATGAGGACGGGAGAAGACGAATGGCAATAATGGGAGCTGCTGCATTATCATGAGGTTCAGCATTCTAATTAAGGAAGATGGGTACCATTGCAGGTGGCTACCTAGCTGTTACTACGGCGAGGAATGGAAAATGAAATTGACATCACTGTGCGATGTTTTGATATTTTGGTGTATAGTGTAGCACCTTTACTTACAGAAAATGCCTCGGATGATGTTGGGATCCCTCATGCACACTCCCATACTAGCCCCCAGATCCCAAATAATAGGCCTTACTGGGGAGGGCAACCAGCGTGGTAAGATCCCGAATTTAAGGCGAGGTAAGCAACACCAAGTCGCGGTTGACATCACATCCATGGTGGTTTGGCATGTGCCTCGACCAAGGTGAAGCTTTGCTCAACATGGTCCAGGAGTCTGGGGATTGGTATTGAAAGCTCACCTGAGCGCGTGAAACGTTGTCTCCGCGGGAGGGACGCCCCCCGCTCCTCCGGATGGGTTGAAGAGCTTTACTTGAATGACCTTTAGGGTATACCTGGACCCCAGAAGTTTAGAGATATTGGGCGATTATTTTCCCTACCTTCGGGGTTTAAGGTAACCCCGAAACCCTAAACCCTCGCCCCTAAGCCCCTAATCCCTACACCCTAAACCCCTAAACCCCTAATGACAGGAGCTCCGTGACACTATTATCGGCAACGACAACAACAATTCGAACAGTTCCTCGGGTTCCTCCTGGCGACGCCTGAGGGAGGTCGAATGGGTTCGCGTTGCGTTGGGTTTGGGGGTTTCGGGTTTAGGGTTAAGGGGGATTTGGGGCCTATAGTCTCCATTGTAGTTCCTTTTGGGGGTTACCTTTTAGGATCCTTAATATAAGATTGGTTAAACCAAATAAGGAACTACAATGGAGACTACCGGTAGGGTTAAGGGGGATTTGGGGTATCTCTAGCAGACTAGTTTTTGTAGATCTGAGCAGTCTAAACTCTGGATAGGGGGGGAATTATGTAGATAGGGATCCCTATCGTAGGGCTTACTCAGAAAAGGCGGCTTAGGAGTTCAGACTGTACCTCAGATGTTGCACCATCTTCTTCACAGAAGTCCCCTGCGTCAGGGAAAGGAAGCCTCAAACCCCACACCCTGAATTTCGATCTACCATTCGTACGTAGGGTCCTTCTAGGGATTCTAGGGAATTACAAGGCCTAGCCTCCGGCAAACATGGAACCCGACAGAGCCCCTCAGTCAAGAGGGCAGAAGTCCTTCCCCCCCCCCCTACCCCCGCACCAGAAAAGCAGCCCTCAAACGCCAAAAAACCCCAACACGAAACCCCCAAAACACCCTAAACCCTAAACCCAAAACCCAAAACCCTAAACCCAACCCCCAGAGGGAACTGCTTGGCCTATATGAACCATCCTGGGAGGACGAGAGGGACGCCAAGGCCGCAAAGTCGCCAAGGGCACCACGACAGCGTCTCTCAGCCGCACACAGGGCGCCCACAGAGAGCCCAGCACCCCTTGAATAAGGAATATACCTTAAATTATAGGGGCCTTAATCTTATGATTTAAGGTATATACCTTGACTCTCAGCCGCAGCTCAAGTCGGGTTTAGGGCTCAGGGCTCTTAGGTTTCTGTTTTGGCCAGTTTTCGGTTTAGGGTTCAGGGCTCTTAGGTTTCTGTTTTGGCCAGTTTAGGGTTCAGGGCTCGTAGGTTTCTGTTTTGGCCAGTTCAGGGTTTAGGGTTTAGGGTTGGCAGGGTTCTATTGTTTGGCCGGTTTAGGGTTTAGGCTTCTTATGGTTCAGCGAGAGGCTGCGTAACATCTAGAAGCCTTGAGAGTTGTACCAATATGGGCTCCTAGACCTTAAGGCATACCTGTAGCCGGAAAGATCTACCTTTTTAGGGTTCTTACTCTGGTTTCTATATATAGTTCCTTAAAAAGGTAGGTCTTTGCGTTTACAGGTAGGGCCTAGGGTATGTCAAACGAACAGCAAAAGTGGCATGAGTAATTCTTACATCCCCTTGAACAAGGCCTGGATGAGGGAGTTTCCACGTTCTTTGTCCATTTGGTTGTCCATTGATTGGTAATGCTTTACTATAGGGGCCTAAACAACTGCCAATTTGACGGTGGGAGATTCCTCATACATTTGTACTACAGGGTACCTCAACTAGAGGCATGTGTTAATGAAAGCTCGAACTCCTTTGGCTAAACCTGGCAACTGTTGTGAGAGATGTTTCGGTTTCCAGAGCGAAGAATGGCGTCATCGACACGGATGTGCAGAGGTTATCGCTTCCGGGGAGGGGCTTACAGAGCACAGGCCATGGCCAGCGGAGACACATGTTTTGAAGACACTCTCACGAACTGCGAGTACTCAAGCCTCCATGATCTTCATGTTAGCGGGAGGTGTTTTGAAGGTCTGCGTGTGTGATGCAAGCATCGAAAGCTGGCTTCTGCAGATCATGAGCCTAAACCGGTTCGGCCAACTAAGAGTTCACACGCATGCGGCAATTCAACCTTAGTAGCTGAGTAGGTAACCTTTAACCTTGTTGGGCTTATATAATCCTACCATAATTGAAAGGTTAACCTTTTCGGGGCTAGGGTACTCAGCCCCTAAGCAACAGAATGATATGGAGGCTGCTTGAGAATCTGCTTTTCTTAGGGTGCCACAAGCTGGAAGTCTGAGGTTGAAGAGCATTGTCCCCAGAAGAGACACGGAACGTCGACGGGAATAATGGAGAATCAAGTATGTCTGCATGTTGTAAGGGGTTGGGAGTAGGGAATGAGGGAGAATTCAGAGGAAAAGAAGACCGGGAAAGTTAAAAAGTGGAAGCTGCTTTTCTTGAAGGGTTTGTAGGGATCTCCTGAAGAGCAAAAAGGGACTCTGACGCTTCCCAGACTGGGCGTCAGGCCACGCATCAGCGTCGCTGCGGCCTCCTCAAGTGGCATCGAGCGAAGCTGCCCCTCGATGAATCCATGTGTGACTATGACCCTAGAATTAAAGGTTTTAGGGATTAAAGTTTAGGGTTAAGGCTTCTGGATTCAGGGGCTTGCCCTGGTTTTAAGGCCGCGCCCTGGTTTCAAATCCGCGGATTAGGGCTTGGAGGCTATTGAGACAGGTGTCGGGGGGAGGTCTAGACAGAGCGCGACGCGGGGAATCATCGCTGCGAAAGACGTCCGGTTTCGAAGCGTGCAGCGTAAAAGACGAGATACCTGCCTATACTCTCCATTGTAGTTCGTTTTTGGGGTTACCTTTTAGGAACCTTTGAAACCAAGAAAGGAACTACAATGGAGACTATAGGTGGGATTGAATCTCAGGCAATGCTCTGCTTCTGTGCCCCATGCCCATGGCCTGGCAATGTAGCACAGGTCTTTCGAACATCCCAGAGACCCCAATACCCCTTAATTAAGGAATATACCTTAAATTATAGGGGCCTTAGAATGATATTTTAATATAAGTTATATATCTTAATTAAGAGGATATTGGAGTCTGTGGGCTTTCTTTGCCCAAAGCAGCCAAGATGAAGTGTATGTAAGCAGTTTGCCCAAACACCCTAACCTTAACCCTAAACCTTAAACCCTAAACCCTATACCCAAACACCCTAAACCCTAAACACCCTAGCCTTAACTCTAAACCCTGTACCCTGTACCTTACATACCCCAGGCCCTAAGTCTGGTGGACGAAGCCAGAACCCCTACCCCTATGATTATCACACTCTCTCTTAGAGGGTCCTGATTCCAAGGGTTGGGGAAACAACATCCTGGTGCCGCCATTCTCGAGAGCAGACCCCATCACCAAAACATATTTGTAACCTACAGCAATCCCCAAGGAATCATTCATGATCCTCCGCGGTGGCTTTGTCTTTTTAGGCATTACCCAGATTCTCTTTGTACTCAAAGTAACTCGCTTTCTACTCGAGATGAACGTGAATCGAAGCTATCTGTCATAGAGACTCCCATAGCTCCTTTATGGCCAAGCATCTCCCATCAATCCCGAAGCCCCTAAAATCCTAAACCCTGTGCTGAAACCCTAAACCCTAAAACCTAAACCCTAAGCCCCTAAAAACCCTAAACCTTAAACCCTAAAACCTAAGCCCCTAAAACCCTAAACCCTAAACCCCTTTATCCTAAACCCTGTTCCGAGAAATTTCCACACGCTACGAACCTCGGAGGCCTCGGCGACCAGCCAGCCGTACAGTCTCGCGAACACGTCCGGGATCGTTGGATTTGCCGCCTGTCAGTGGAGGGGTTTCGGGGTTTTGGGCGGTTTAGGGTTTAGGGGTTTAGGGTTTAGGGGTTTAAGGGTTTAAGGGTTTAGGGTTTAGGGGTTTAGGGTTTAGGGGTTTAGGGGTTTATTATTATTAAGGCGGTCAGGGTTTACGGATTTAGAGGGGTTTTGGGTTTAGGGTTCTTTGGAGGGTTACTATGCGGTATCTATAGGGTTTTCGGGTTTGGGGTTCCTTGAGGGGTTGAGGGTTTAGGACTTGCTAAGTTCCCTCAGCCACGCAATCTCAAAGCCGGAACTAACAACGTGATGTAGCGCACATGCATCATGTTCCGCTCGAAGTGCAAGCCGGCGCCTATTTGAAGCTTTGCATGAGTCAACAATCTTTCGGAGCGATCTGCCCCCTCACTCTTGATATGGGGGTTTGAAATGTGTGTCCCCGAAATGGCCATCAGGCAAGGTCCCTGCTTGGCTGGGATCTCCCTTCAAGAAAGTGTATTCCCAACGTTCCCCCCTTGAACAGGCCCTGTAGAACAAACCTAAACCCTAATCGATGTGTGTCCCTGTAACCTTAGCCCCGGTAACACCTTTAGGAGTAGGAGGATCTGTCTGTCCTTAAGTCGCTGTTACTCTGCCCAGTCTGGGTGGAGTAAGGGATCAGCACCCTAAACCCTATAAGCCCGCATATCGCAATCCCTTACTCAAAACCAGAAGAAACCCAAGAAGGAAATATGTACGCAGGAGGCCTGTGCAGATCAAAGTGTGCCCCCAAGAAGCGGTTCGTGCGGACACTGGACTGGAAGAGTTAAACTACGATTCTCATAACATTGTTGTCCCTTTGCGGGTCCCTAGGACAATGTGGCTCCCCAAGTCTAGGTGTTCAGAAAGCCGGCTTTGAATGAATGCTTGCATATGAGGCGTTGAATGGAGTCTTGCTCATCGGAGCCCATCAGCATCATGGTCACTCCATGCCAACAGCATGGCCCCGCTCTTGGATTTTCTTACCTCTGCGCTGCAGGGAAGCGAACATGGAAGCCACTATGTTATTGGTGGTTATAGAGGGGCTACCATAACTTAGTAGCTGAGTAGGTAACCTTTAACCTTTTTGGGCTCATATAACCCTACCATAATTGAAAGGTTAGCCTTCTTGGGGTTAGGGTACTCAGCCCCTAAGATAAGGATCCATCATTTCATTCTTTGCTAACGAGAAGTACATCTTGGTGGGTCAACTTGGTCGGACTGTTCTCAAACGCCAAACCAGATAGCCCAAAGCCCCGCCTTATCAAGGAAGACTACCCAAATCAGCTGCTACGATGAGTTATCCGATCTTCCTGATTTGAATTGTATTCGGCTTTCTGGGACAGCTAAGCTGGCCCCTTTCCATCCGACAGCTGTCTTGTGCTTGAGTGTTTGTGCTTGCACGGCCTGATCCACCAGACCTCTCCTGCATTCATGTACCAAGCCACGGACTTTCCGAAAGTTAGGGGGTACCTTGTTTTGGGGTCCTTATCATAAGGATCATACTATTTAGGGGTACTATATTAGGGTCCCCTATCTTCGGAAGCCCCCAGAAGTTATGTACACCCCGAGCCTCCTGGTCCTGTGTAGCTCCATCTGGTCTCGTAGGCTATAACCCCCTACCAGCGGACCATAGAAAACCCAAAAGGTCCTTGCAGAACCCCTATATGATCCCACAACACCATAAGCCTGCCCCCAAGGCATTTCGACGACTGCGGCGGGCATGTGGACTCTGATGGGCACTACCACTATCACTTCCCGGCATCCTGCTATTTGTCAGCTCAAGGCCAGGCAGCCCTGCCTGTGACGTGCCGCAGGCACTTGCAAGCTCATGGGACTAGGTAATCATGGGACTAGGTAAGTAGGCTGTAGAGTCTGCTTAGAACCCAATTTATAACTCATCTGCTAAATCCCCTGAACCTTCAAGTTACAAGTGAAAAACCATGCAAGGAAAGCCCCGGGCTGATGACGCCCCCTCAAGGTCTCGCCCTGTTCCACCAGGGCCTTCAAGCGCATCACTCGAGGAAGGTCGGGGTCGAGGACTCCCGTGCGGATCAAGTGCAACACCCCATAGACCAATGCTGCAAGACGAGTGCACTCGTCTCTCGAGTAACACAGCGGGGAAGCTGCGTTCTTATCCACATGGTGGCCAAGAAGCCGTCGATCCTCGAAGCTCACTTTGGCGCTCTTCGAACACCAACTCAACAGAATACTTTTCAGGCTGTGGCTGGAGACTTTCCAGCACTCGGAAGGATCTCTGCCACCATTCGCCAATATCTCCCGCAGACAGAAGCTCGCCTCTCCTGTGCTCAAGGAGCTCGTGGATGTACGGTCAGCTAGCCGCGTCCATCCGAAGCCCTGGATCAATGCTCTTACGATCTCTCTACCCATAGGCCCCTAAGTAGTTCCCTTTTGGGATATAAGGTAATCCCAAAAAGGAACTACTTAGGGGCCTATGGGTAGTTCTGATAACGTAGCGGCCTAAGCAATGTCCAACTTGCGCCTGCAGGTTCCCTGTTACAGCTATAGTGCTGGGACCTGAAACGAGATTGGCATTTACTACATTCCTTCATACATCCCCTATGTAAGCCCAATTGTCCACGTAATTGTCCATGTTCCTGACCCTTTGTTTGCAATCATGCAAAAGCCCCTACTTCTCTCAACCCCGAACCCTAAACCCTAAAACCCTAAACCTCCCTGAACCCTAAACCCTGAACCCTCAACCCCTAAACCCCTAAGCCCCCAAAACCCGAAACCCTAAATCCCAAACCCCTTAACCCCTTAACCGCCTTACACCCTAAACCCTATACACCCTAAGCGTTAAACCCTAAACCCTAAACCTACCTGACCCCTAAATCCAGATTGAGCCAATCGCAAGCAGGCTTGGCCTCGCCTGGCCGTACAGATTGGTGGGCGCAGCCTGCAGCTGGAACGCATGGGTTAATATAGTCTCCATTGTAGTTCCCTTTTTTGGTTGAACCGATTTTAATATTACGGATCCTAAACCGCAACTCCAAAAAGGAACTACAATGGGGACAAAAGTTCTTGGTCCCTAAACCCTAAACCCTAAACCGTGGTGGGCCCTTTTGTTGCTTTCCTTCTTCGGGTCCTGAGATCCTTATAGGTTTGGGGAGCCTTGAACCAAAGCGCTACCATGTGAAAACCATACCATGTGAGCTACAGTCTAAACTTCCTTGTAAGGGGGGCATATATAGCGATAGTATAGGGAGTCCTAGTCTAGCAAGGAGTTTAAACTTTTGCTCATGTGAAATCAGGACCCAATGGCTTTTTGGCCGACACTGTCGAAGCCCTCGCCAGTCCTCGGCTACGCTCTGGACTGCCAAGCTTTCATCATATAGAGGGATTGGGGTTCAGGGATTTAGGGTTCAGGGTTTAGGGATTGTGATTTGGGGTGTAGCATCCGTCAGCTGCATGCAGTACTGTGCGGACATGCTCACCCCAAGACCGCCCAGAGAGGGCTGGCTAGAGCTTGCGATTCGGGTTTCGGAAATTACTGTTCCGGAGAAAGCTTTACTCAGGCATTAAACCCTAAGCCCTAAACCCATCATTAGTGTGTGATGTCTGGTGTTCTGCCGATGTCACTCTTTTGTGGCAGGTTATCTTTGTTGATGACTGCCACATTCACAGTGTATGCCTTGTTTGGCGGGTTTTTGACCTTCGTCGCTGCGGAGTAAAGAGACCATTGCACTTTAAAAAAAATCCATCATTAGGCATGCCCCATCTTGGGGTTCCGACTTCCCATCTCAATCCCGAACTCTTAAGACTTCCAGCTGCCGAGCTGCCAGTTACCCCGGAACCTGAACCCAGCTACCCATAAGCTCCTAAGTAGCTCTTTTTTGTGGTTAATATGTAGGATCATATAAGGTGATCCCAAAAAGGAACTTCTAAGGAGCCTATGGGTAGAGACGACTATCAAGGTCAGGGGCACTTAGTAAGGATCCTGACGCGAAAAAGTAAGTTGGTTCTGTGGCTTACGAAGGTTGTAAGCATTGGCCTAGTCGCTCTCCAGGACGGCGTCCCCATCCACGGCCCCTACGGACGCGATGGCCGCCTTGTCGACGTGAACGAGCTGGATGAATGCAATGGCCGATGGGAGATGAATGCAAGCGGCGAGAAGGATGATAAAGTTTAGCAGACCAGGGTTGCAGCCGAGGAAGTTTTACGTGCGTTCCCCAGATACGGAAGCGTTTGTTTTACTGTTTCCGATGCATCCGTGTTATGATAGCTCAGCTCAGGCTTCCTGTCAGCAAACCCAACAGAAAGGGAAGGGATCAGAAGAGCGCATGGGTGATGACAGGAGTATCACTACGTGTGGTCCGTCGCTGAGCCTTTCCTTCCTCAGTGCTTCCGATTGCGACCTGCGCAGGTGGACAGGGGTCAGCATGGGTTCTGATATTCCTTTCATTTTTTTTGTAAGTCAGATCTTTCATATGCAACCTGATCCCCTCGATGCTATGGCTTCTCGTGACGCGGCTCCGGCCTTCTCTGCAAGATAGCGGGGGCCCACCTCAATCCAGTCAAACGGGTTCGGAACCTCCTTTTGGGCAGTTCTCTAAATTAAGGTACCTTTTTAGGTCCCCAATATAGTACGGCACCCATATAAAAAAGGACCCTAACAGGGACCCTAATTTAGAGAACGACCCGTCTGCTGCAAGCGACCAGAATCAAGACAAACATCTTGGAATCCCCAAAGCGACATCTTTGTTGTTTAAACCCCCTCCCCAAATAACAAACCCCCCAAACCCCTGATGACAAGCATGTCCCCTAGCATGAGGGATTGCATTCGGATTTGTTTGTCAATTTTCAGGGGACGGGGATGAACATAGGCCCCTAAGTACGTAGTTCCTTTTCGGGATTAATTACCTTATAGGATTCTAAATATGAACCATAAAAAGGAACTACTTAGGAGGCTATGGGTAGCTCAGACGTGCAACGGCAGGTGGCATTTGAGGACCCCGGTGGCTTGATTGCAAGCAATCCGCAAGCGCAGGGGTTACGTAATCCTTTTGAGGGTTTCCCAGAATCGGGCTACTTCAACGGGTAGACAGGGTTCTATATTCTATAGAGATAATTATACAGGGAACTCATAGTAGTCTGTATTACCTTATATTGGGATCTATTTTGGCGCACAAGAACAACCAAACAGCCCTAAACTCCTATAAGCCCCACCTGGACCCCAAACAATGAAGTCTTTATATAAGTCCTTAAAAAGGTAGGTTGTTTGGGGTTAAGGTAATCTTAAATCCCCAAGCCTTAAATTCTGGCTAAGGCAATCCTTGTCGTGTACGTGGAGAGCCTAGCCTGAGCATGGCCGCGCCCAAAGGGACGCCCCTTGTCCAGCAAACGAGGGTCTGCTTAAACGGCGGATATGATGGCTCTGTCGGGATACGCAGAGATATTTTTTGGATTTTTGCGGGTATATTTCGGGTTCTAGGTTTCCCAAAACAAAGCCCCTTATTGGATGAAGTTTGAAAAGGGTTATAGTATGGTCTGCACTGGGTTCCCCTGTTTATGGAAACTCCTAGTAGACACAAAGGTTTCTCAAGATGATGGGCCCTTTGCGAGGTTGCTGGAGGTGGAATTGCGCAATGTGCCCAATTTCACATAGCCCTAAACCCGAACTCCTAAACCCCTAAACCCCCAAAACCCCTAAACCCTAAACCCCTAAGCCCTGACATGCATGTATGTGGGATTGGGGGTTGCATAAGCTTTTTCTCGAGAGCAGGAGTCCCTCGCGGGAAATACGGTTGATGATATATACATCCTGCATCACCCATAATAAGGAATATACCATAATTCCCATAGTATAGGCTTCTTAAGGTCATGCAAGATTTATACTATCAACAGTATTGAGACTTGATGATCTGCATCCTGATCGGCCAGGGAGACAACCTGCCGCAGTACGAAAAAGATACCAGGGTTTAGGGTTTAGGGTTTAGGGTAGAAGTTGGTTCAAAATTGCACTCATTTTCAAATCGCAAAGTAGGTGTACTTACCATATCTCGGGCTACATTTCTTAATTGCAGGAGACTGCTGCATGGCTTAATCCTTCTCCCCAAGCCGAGCCAAAGCGATGTCTCGGCAAAGCATTAAACACCCGAAGCCCAGCAGGGGACTCAAATAACCTACAGTCAGCTAGGTTGGTCCATGTTGGGGGGTTATGATCTAGGAATCCAGGGTGTGTTGCCTTGGCCAGCGAAAACAGGATTCTGGCTGTTAGTCAGTCTTCCCATATCTTCAATGCAGAGCCCCCTAAACCCAAAACCCCTAAAGCGTGTTGTGCTCAGAGTTTTGTTCAGGATTCCAGTGGTCAACCCGACACTCTCGGATTTATCACAGCCGTTGCTGAACTGCTCAGCCGAGTCATTGCCACATACATCCGGAAACACAGAAAGCAACCCCAATAAACCCTAAACCCTAAACAGACGACCTGTATTCAATGTGTCTGCTGTGTGTGCAGAAGGTCCAGCAAGGGTGAATGGCTTCTTCTTTCACACGGATGCCCAGACCATCCTTACTTCAACAACCCAATGAAGGTTGCTGGCGTGGCTTGGATGATTTGGGGTTGCAGATGCACAGTAGATCTTCTTGCGGAGTTGTGACCACTTGTCTTGTGGTGCTTGCTGCTCATGAAAAGAGGTTGCAAAAGTCTTGGACAGCAGCGAGCGAAAGCCGTCGGCTGCTTGGCTGCCGTGGAATAGAATAGAAATGGTTAATGACGCAAAGAGTCAATGGAATAGGGCTTAGGGTTTAGGGTTTAGGGCAAAGTTGGACGACTTGCCCGTTCCAAAGTCACAGTCGGACCCCCAGGACTCATTGGTAGCTCAATTACCCACATCGTGGCGTGGAAAGAGGTAGAAACTGAGCAGTGGACAACTCATCAGTACGGCTGATGATACAAATCCTTCATGATTCATAGTAAGGAATATTACCATAATTCCTATAGTTTAGGGTCCTTAAGGTCATGCACGATTTATATCATCAACAGTAGTTGAGCTTTGAGGTCAAGCACATCTGCACATGTGGGGGTTTCCGAAAACAGGAGACCCTAATATAGTACCCTAAATAGTAGGCTCCTCATTATAAAGACCCCAGAATAAGGTACCCCTAATTTCGGAAACTCCCATGTCTGTCTGGGCTCGAGGTTGGCGCTACGGAGTGCCATGCAGGCTTGCCTGCACCACTGACGGGTGCACGCGGAGAGCCTCATAGCCATTACCCATAGGCCCCTAAGTAGTTCCTTTTCGTGGTTTATAACTTAGAGTCCTATAAGGTAATCCCAAAAAGGAACTACTTGGGGGCCTATGGGTATGGAGTTGCTACAGTCGAGCTCCGAGTATGATTTAAGATATGTTCCTTGATTGACGGGTACTGGGGTCCCGGGAATGTTGGGGTTTGCTATCTACTGGCGTGCTGTTGCCCTCATGTTTATGTTATGTGCAGGGAGTGCGATCTGGCACAGGGACACTCGGATCAATGTGTTCAGTGAAGGTGGAAACCACAACGCGAGCTCCGCAAGGTTCCTTGGCTCGGCAAAAAGCAGCTGCTTTTGCTCAGATTCCCTTCAAAGAGCTACCACTGATGGCACACACTTCAAATTGACACATCCCTTCCGCCACTGAACAAGCTAATTGACCTAGATTCTCTGGCAAAACAGCAGAGTCCAGCACTACGGGCTCCTTGCTACCATTTTCGGACATCTCACCCTGTGCTCACTGCAGCATTCACGAACACCCGCGGTGGACAGGACGGACATTCGTCCGAAATTTGCCAGATCTGATCTGTGTTGTAGGCATGCGCTGTCCCTGCTGCAAACTTACCAACATAGAATCCTCAACAGGACGCATGATCTCGTGGTAGCCTCCAGTTAATTTGGGAGTTTAAGAATACCTACTTTACAGCCTCAGCCCTAGTGTCCCTACAGCCTCCCTAAACCCAGTCCGCAAACCCCAAACTGACATTCCTACAACCTCCCTAAACCCTGCATGTTGCTAAACACCCAAGTCCTAAATCCCTTTTTTCGTATCCCAATAAGCTCTTGAAGTGCAGCCATGTAAATTCCTTCCTGCTTTTGGAAACGCCTTCCCCTATTTTTTTAAACCCCGAATGTACGGGACTATCCTTGTGAAATATGGCACTCGTACTCCAGCGTGAATTTCTTGCTGTTAGGGGGCCTTAACCCTTCAACCCTAAACGCACGCCCTATAAACCCCTAAACACCTGAAGTCCTAAACCCCCAACCCCTTAACCCCTTAAGCCCTCAAAACTATACACCCTAAACCCTAAACCCCAAAACCCTAAACCCTAAAACCCTAAAGACCCTAAACCCTAAACCCCCCTGTACCCTACACCCATGTTCCTGCATTTCGAGGGGTGGCTCGTCCACCAGCGGTTGCTCGGCAAGTTCCCACGACAGCATTCTCAGAAGCTTGCAGAGGCCAGTGCGATCAATACACTGTGGGGCTTAGGAATCTAGGGGGGTTGGGGATTTACGATGTAGGATTTGGGGTTTTAGAGGTGTTTCGGGGGTTTAGGGGCTTAGGGATGTAGGGTGTGGATCTCTGGGGTGTTTAAGGAAGGGTTTAGGGATTTCGGACTTGGGGGGTTTGGGGACTGCGGGATTTCGGGCTTAGGGGGAAAAGGGAGTTTAGACTTTGGGTTTGGGAGCCCCCGAGACTTCGGGCTTCGGGGGGTTTGAGGAGCTTTGGGTTGGGGGTTTGTTGGGAGTTAGTTAGGATTTCCGGTTTTGGGGCCTCGGGATTTAGGGCTTAGGGGTTTGGGGGGGGTGTTTAAGGATCTTACGGTTTTTGGGGGTTGAAGGATTTAGGGTTTGGGATTTAGGCGTTGGGGGTTGGGCTTGTGGATCTAGAAAGAAGATGCGCCGCAAGGGTTCCCAGCAATTGTACGGGTACCATATAGGGGACTTTGCTTCTTAGACGCGACCACTGCAGATCGCTCAGAAGTCTGACCCTGAACTATATACTCCGAAAATCGAAGTGTCGGGGTGGGTCTATCGCATTTTTCTGTACCTACAAAGGTCTGGAACATTGACGCCCGGCCCACCTCACAAGCCCAAAAACCTCCGTACTATACTGTTATTGTCTCCAATACTACAGGTTGTATTCTTACCATTTCCCATTACTGTTCCTATTTTGCCCACACCCTGGCGACCCCAAAAAAAACATGAAATGGCCTGCGTGCAGTACCGATGCCAATGGGACTGGAGCTCCAGCTGCATTACGGTTTCACAACCTCTTGAGATGACTTTGGGCACCTTGGTTCCTTTTCCCTAAACCCTAAGCCCTAAAGCCCTAAAGCCCTATTTCTATGACCGCCGTCGGGGCTCTTGGGCAGCCTGAGGAGACGGCGTCCTGGATGTCTTCAACCCTTGCGCAGCAGGCTGGGTTGGCAACAGCATCTAAACCCAAAGCCCTACCTATAGTCTCCATTGTAGTTCCTTTTTTTGGTTTAACCAATTTTATATTAAGGATCCTAAAAGGTAACTCCAAAAAGGAACTACAATGGAGACCATAGGTAAGCCATGGTTTGCAATGATTTTTGTTCGGCGTGTTCTGGATGTCCCCTGCCAGTCTTCGACTCTGGCAATGGGGACTCCAATGATGATGGCGTCACTGATGTCTTCAATCCGTGCGCAGCAGGCCAGGAGGGGAGAGATACATGATTTGCATATGCGACTTGTGCTTTTTTTTGGCTGCTGGATGCTGACCCCCTGTGTCAGTTTTCGACACCGAAGACAACAATGGGGTTCCAGATCTCTTTGTTCGCTATCGGCCGTTCTCCATGACGGCCTCCTCCGTGCCAGACCTGCACATACGAATGGGCGAGTTCGCCCCAAATTGCAGAACCCTTTGCGGATCTTCAAGACAGCCATAGCTCTGTTGACATCTTGTGCGAGTGTGTGTGTGTGTGCGCGCGTGTGGGTGTGTGTGTGTGTGGGTGTGTGTGTGTGTGTGCGCGTGTGTGTGTGCGTGTGTGTGTGTGCGTGTGTGTGTGCGTGTGTGTGCGTGTGTGTGCGTGTGTGTGCGTGTGTGGGCGTGTGTGGGCGTGTGTGTGCGTGTGTGTGTGTGTGTCACCTGCACGTTGGCGAAAAGGAATGCCAGCGTCGAAGTTGTCCCCCCAACCCTAAACCCCTAAACCCTGCACCCTTAACCCAACCCTAAACCCCTAAACCCTAAACCAAACGCCAAAATCCAAGGTGGGCTTTCCCTTCATCTGCCAGTCCCGGAACGTCGAGAAGGACTGCGATTCACAGTTCGTGGACAACTACAACGCACAGGAGACCCGTTGCCACGGTTTAGGGTTTAGGGTCTAGGATGTAGGGTTTAGGGTTTAGGGTTTAGGATGTAGGGTTTAGGGTTTAGGATGTCGAGTTTAGGGTTTAGGGTTTAGGGTGGTGAGAGCTTGGAGATATGTAGAAGCCTAAGTCATGACCAAGATGATGCTGCCTGGTTCCCTGTACCCATAGGCCCCTAAGTAGCTCCTTTTGGGGGATTACCTTATCGGATTCTAGATATAAACCATAAAACGGAACTACTTAGGGACCTACGGGTACTGCTATGGTATGGGGTACCTCAAACAGAGCCAAACGATATTGGCAATGATTCGGGCCCCTGCAGTATCCGAGAGTCATAGGTGTAAAGAGCAATCTACCAAGAGTCCTAGACCCACATTCACATGATAAATGGGGTCCTGTCCCAACATGCAAAGCTTGAACCCCCAACACGCAAGTACGGCCTGATAACCCTCTGGGGGTCCCAGTTGTAGCTGCCAAAAGCTATTCAGATGATAGCATTTGGGAAGAAAGGCCCCCATTACTTGGGTCCTTGGATAGAGCCCTGACTGCTTGGGTACTTGGACGCTTGATTGCTTGATTCACTGCAAACTCGCTTGTTTACTCGTTGCATCCGAAACAAGCCAAAGTCCCACCGTTCTACTGTACTACTATTCTCGGTCGCGCCAGATTCTAGATAGGGCATCCCAGAGCCGCAAGCATAAACTAGAGCACCCCGCAAAAAGCGGTAGAGTAGAAGCTTCTAGGTAGGGAAGGCACCATGAGCCTGCGATACAATTCCTAGATCAAGCCGTTGAGTCTGAGCCGAAACCTACAACTTGGACCCTGTCCCTTGACTAAGAGCATCTCCTCAACCCTAAACTCCTAAATGCTAAACCCTATAAACCCTAAACCTCTAAACCCCTAAACCCTAAACCCAAGTTCCTTCTTAACACGCCGAAATGTTGCCAGAAGCCCAACCCTGTCTACAATGAGCCGCTCAACGCCCCGCGCGACTCGAGCATCCTCCGCTGTCGTGGAGAAGAGTGCCTTGCTTCAAGGGACTAAAGGAGAGACCCTTAAAGGGACCCTTGGGGTTATATAGGGGCTTTATGAGACTATACAAGGGGTATATAAGGGTTTTATAGGGTATTAGGATTAGGGGTCCCTTCTAGGGGTAATCAATGTAAGTTACCACAGTAGGAACTATAATAAGTAGTATGGTCTCCGAGTTATGGTAACTTAAATTAAACCCCCTAACAAGAACCCAGTGCTTGTCTCTGTGGTGTCATGCCATATAAGTAGTTCTCTAAATTAGGGTCGCTTTTTCCCGACTATAGTACGGCACCCTTATAAAAAGGACCCTTAAAGGGAAGCCTAATTTAGAGGACTAACCATATAAGTTGTACTATACTCTACTATACTATACTTAAGCCTGCTCTACTATACTAGACTAGACCATACTCTACTGGGTATCCCGTGAATATCAATGGCATGAGGAACGAGGGTAATACTGAGATCAAGAACCCGGGTGATCCAGCTAGGCCAAAGCAGGAAACGTGTTTTCAACTTCGGGGCCCAAAGTGGATTGTGTTTTTTGGCTCAGAGGGTTTAGGGCGTAGGGTTTAGGGGTTTAGGGTTTTTGGCTGAGAGGTTACGGGGTAAAGGGTTTAGGGGTTTAGGGTCTTTGGCTTAGATCCACGGGATTTTGTTGGACCTTTCGCCGGTGTTGCGCTATCGCGTTTCAGGTAGCATGCATCAGCGCTTAGAGGATTATCGGACATGTCCCTTTTTGAAAGGCGAAGCCGCACTGGTGCACCCCCCCCCCCCAAGACCTTTGACCTGCCCAGATGCATGAACTTCCATCTGTATTAGAATCATTAAGATAGCAGATAGCATCGTTCTTATCACCGTTATGCCTGTTATCATGGCAAGTAGTAGGGCCATTAGGGTTCTTGCTTGTACGCTGTTGTTCATTGCGCTGTTTGTTATTACTACGATTGTAAATCCGTCATGTCGAAGGTTCCTTCCCCCCCCCCCCCCCCCCCGCCCAATTAGGGTTTAGGGAGTTTAGGGTTTAGGGTTTACTCCTCAAGCTTGTGCCTTAGTAGGGGTGATTCAGGCGACGGTCGGGGTCATCAAGGCTAACTACCTTAAGCTACCATAACCTACTTTATGGTAGGTTCTTATTATAAACCCTAATATGGAATTGATGGGGACCCTACAAAAAAGTAGGTTTTGGTAGGTTACGGTAGGGGTTACACTCAGGAAGCGCACCAGGGGGAAGCCAGGATCATCGCGCAAGAATTCGGTCGGCGAAGATCCGGCTCAAGTACCCAGAGAGCCCAATACCCCTTAAATAAGGAATATATACCTTAAATTATAGGGGGGGGGCCTTAATATTATGATTTAAGGGTCTATTCCTTGATTCAGGGGTATTGGGCTCTCTGGGTAAGGGTACTTTAGGGTATGCTACTACAGTGGGGGTGTTTAACAGCATTGAAAGTAGTAGGGGAGGGAGCTAGATGCTTCTGCTAGTGTCTGAAAATTGGGGGAGCCCCGATCTTCAACAGATCATTGTCACTGCCAGTATTGAAAAGGCGGTGCGGGGTATTGAGTTTTAGCGGAGGGTTAAACGTTGTCCAAGATGTCCTGCATCAACAGTATGAATTAAGGAGTACTTCGGAATGAAGGGGTTCTGTCCCTCTAAACCTCTAGAACAGCTGACTTCTGTTTCACGTTTCTTCTTCTCCATGGCATTATTCGTTCTTGCCTTTTGACTCAGACTCAAATCCTAAGCCCCAAACCTGCAAACCCCTAATTCCTGCACCCTAACCCCAAGCCCTAACCACAAAACCCTAAACCCGGAACCCCTAAACCCCTAAACCCTAGAAGAACAGGTGTTCGGCTTTCTGGGCTTACCTTGTGTAGCAAGCGAGTCTTCACCGTCACTTCTCGAAGTCGGACTACCCCCAACATAAAATGTTCCTTCTTCTTGATGGTGCTTCAGGAGAAACGGAACCCTATAATCGTAAAACCCTAACCCTAATAACTGTCAGCAGCAGCCAGCTTTGCTGAGGTACTCAGCAGAACCACACGTAGGCTTCACCCCGGCGGTGCGAGATGGCATTCCCTACTACTGTGCTCCTTGGCTAGGGGAGGTTATGCCGGAGAAGCTTTTGCCAAGCATCCCATGCTCTCCCCGCTTTTGCGGTTTAGGGTTTAGGGCCTGTCATTCCGTCACGCTATTGCTATACACCCTCCCCCTCACCCCACAACAAGACATGTTCAAGAGACCAAATGTATTCCGGGCAGGTTCATCATTAACATTAAGGGGGCCGGAGGATATTTAATGCTACTGTGAGGGGTCTGATATTTGTCATTATATGCAACAGTAGCGTTTTCCCAAAATGCCTAAGATAGAAGCTTAAATAAGTTACCGACATTATTCCTCAGGGTTCCTTATAATATAGTAAATGGGCCCCATGACCCAATTCTATTTATTATGGCCGCTACGTTAGCTCCGTGGCCTTTGAAGATTTCTTCGCAAGCCTGAAGCTGCTCCGAAACTGGGCAGTTCTGTTCAGGAACCTAAATGCAGTGACCACAACTGTGCCCCTAAACCCTAAACCCTAAACTGAATGGGTTTAGGGTTTAGGCTTCAGGGTTGAGGGTTTAGGTTTTAAGGTTTGAGTCTATATAGGGTTAAGATTTAGGGCTCTCACAGTATGGATGCATTCAGTAACTGCTGCAGTAGAAAGTATGAGGACTTGATCGACGTGCCTTTACACAACCTAGAACAGTCAAAGGGTCCAAGTAATAGTATAGTATATACTGTTGGGGCCCAAATACCTACTAAGTACCTACTATAGTGGTACTTGGACCCTTTAAGGGAAAGCCCTAGGATGCTCCAGGCTTCCTTCAGTCTCCTTCAGCTTCGATCGCGAGGCCCTAAGGCCCTATAAGGCGAAGCCGAGCACCGAATCTCGAGCTCGAGGACAGGAACCGGCAACATAAATCTGGGGGGTTTCCGAAAATAGGG